CATTCAAAAACAATGGACTTGTGATAAGGCTCCTGAAATAATCAGGTCTTCAGTTTAAGTGTTCTTTTAGTGATGAGTGAATTTTTGCTAGAAAAAGAGCAGGAGAAATAACATGCAAGTGTCTCAGAGCCGGCAAAAGCTATGAAAAGAGTGACACTTTATCTCACAAGAGTATGACGCAGCCTGCAGAAGTGACATGCATGGTTGTTGTCACCACTAGAATTACCTACTGTAGCCAAAGCAAAATAAACTCATTTAACCTCTTCCAGGGCCCATATTTACAAAATAGAGACTTCTGGGAATCCATACTCTGGTCTCAAGACCAGACCAATTCAATCATTTCGGATCCAAAAGCATCCAAAATGTTCTGGTGTTGCTAGAGGAGGAGTACAGAGAGAAGTGCCTGGTTCCCACAGTGGCACTCAGTGGTATTAAAGCTCTTTTATAGGGATGAATGAGTGCTGAAGGTGTGAGGGAGTTGTACTTTATCAACGCTTTCATGAATTCAAAGCAGTTCCGGCTGATGGCGCAGCACGTATGCGTTGCGTGATTAGTGACGAATGCGGAGAGAGAACAAAACAAAACGCCGGTCACGAATTAGAAGTACAAACCGAGGATTTGCAAAGAAAAATGTCGGAGGATTTCGATATAAACCAAGAAGAGACTGGTTTTCCTTTGCTAAAGTAAGAAAACTTTGCTTCCTTTGCTCGTATAAACAAACTCGCGAGACTAGCATACCTCAGAGGCGCGTGCACTCGCATACGTGCTGTGTCATCCGCCGGAACTGCTTCAGTGTATGACAGTCAGCGGAAGTGAGAGAAAAGTGTTTATTACATTTGAAATATGGATATTTTTCTTTCAAAAACACATTGATTCGCTACAGGGGGCCTTTATTCATCCCCCGGAGCCGTCTGCGGCACGTTTTATTATGAATGCGTGAGCTTTATTTGACGACTTGTGGACTGTTCAACTGACTGCACTGATAGAGCTTGGAATAGCCAGGACAATGTTTAATATAACTCTGACTGGATTCGTCTGAAAGAAGAAAGTCATATACACCTAGGATGCTTCGAGGGTAAGTAAAACACAAGCTAATTTTCATTTTTGGGTGAACTAACCCTTTAAGGACATTTTTGTTTTTTTCATATTTTTTTCTTTTTAAATCATTTTGCCTGTCGTAGAGCCAACTGCATACTTTTTGGCAGAAGTGTGTATTTTTATGGAATTTTAATACTTCATCCTCATTTCCTTTCCTAAATCTGTTTTGACACTATAGCCTACTGCACTGCAAATAACTAATCCCGACGCTGTGTGTACCAGTGAAAATTTGTTGGCATCTAATGGATAAAGTGTGGTCCTGCGCCCAAATTAAAACTTACAGAAAGCACATTTTTTGAGGTATCAACCTCAAATTTGGAACACAATTCGTTTAGATTTATGGGTTTCAGCACATCACATTCTTGCTGATGATTTTTGGCTATGGAAAATGTTTGCTGAGAAGACTGTGATTGTAGACACAAAGGCAAGAGGTTTCCAGTGGGGCACTATCAATGTTTACTGGCAAAATTATACTGCCCTCTGCGGCTCCACTGTACAGGAGACATTCAGATTTGATCCGATGAATTGTATGATCATTTTCAAGCTTCCGTAGCTGTCTGGACAACAATTTGTGTGGCTTATTGCCGAACTCAAAATATTTTTGCTTCATAAACATTTAGGATCTAGAAAACTTTTCAGATGTTATCTTGTTAAAGAGGGCATTATAGCATTTTCTTCATCTAATTGAATAATCTGTTTTTCCAGTGAATGCAGAGAAGTAATATTATTTAAATTTTTTGCACCTTTAAAATAAATAAAACAACCCCTTAAATACGCTTTGAAGGTGTCCCACAAAAGTGAAGGTGAGGTATTTGGTTGATTGTTAATTTTAAAAAAATAACAAGCTGTGAACTCAAATATAACATTTAGCATCTTTTAATAGATAGGGATCTGCCCGCCACAATGGTTGAGTTTTGCAATTTTTGATAATTTTAAAGCAAATGTAATTGGACTGTAATCTGAGATTAGAATATTATGATGGCATTAAAGATGAAGGGGATTAACTTTAAGTCGACCAAAACATAATCAATACTGGTATAAATGTTGTGAACCTGTGAATGAAAAGTGTAATCTCTCCTCGTTGGATTAGCTAACCTCCATACATCACCAACATTAGAAATTGTAATGTACATGTTAAGAAAGTCCCTAGATTTAGAAGGGGGAGAATGCTGGGTGGAAGATCTGTCTAAATACGGATCTAAAATCAGTTGAAATCACCTCCTATGATTAAGTTTGTAGATTGAAATATCAGGAATCCGGGGGGGGATTTGGCCCATAGATGTTGACCAAAGTGATAGGTGTTGAAAATATTTCTCCCGCAACTATGATAAATCGCCCTTCTTTACGCGCAATCATAGATCTATGTTTGAATGGAATGCCCTTTCTTATTAAAATGACAGTACCCCTAGCTTTAGATGAGAAGGAAGAAAAAGGAACTGACCTATCCACCTAGCTCTCAGCTTGGAATGGGAATAATTTTTGAAGTGTGTCTCTTGTAAAAATATGATGTCAGTGTTCATGGATTTTAGATGGGACAACACTTTACCACGTTTGACAGGGAGGTTTAGACCTTTGACGTTCCAGGAAGCAAAAGTCAAA